CACTGCAGAGGGTCACCAGTATTCGATTTCGAAGGTTTTTCTGTTATTTTGTCTGGGAAAGAGGAGGATGAGCGAGAATATGCGGGACTGGGGTTTATTGTATCTCCTTGTGCAAAGCACGCCGTTAAAGGTTACATGCAACAGAGTAGTCGGATTGCATCTCTTCGTATTCGGGTCACTGGTGGAGTGTTGACATTAATTTCAGCATACGCTTGGACAAATGTGCACGACTTTGACACACGACGCGAGTTTTACACCGACCTGGCCACAATCGCTGATAAATGCCGGTGCCATGGACCTACAATCATACTTGGAGATTTCAACGCCCGGTTACTGGAGCAACATGCTGGAGAGGAGGACGTCATGGGAGAGTTTGTCTTTGAAAGTCGTTTCTCTTCGTGGAGCCCCACTTCCAATCGGGGATTGTTGATTGAACTATGCCATTCGCTGGAGGCGTGTATTGCTAATGCGCATTTCGAGCACTCCGACGAGCATGCAGTCACGTACCACGACATTGGCATAGAACCGTCTAGCACTATTGTGCCCGGACATTTCGAGAAGCTGGATCACGTTGTCGTGGCAAGAACTTGGATGCCTTGCATTTGTGATGTATGGAGCTGTCGCGATCGCCATCTCCAGTCCCATCATATTATCACCGCCGTCGATCTGAACACCAACATACCGCAGAAGAGCCGCAGGCCGAAGAAGCATAATTACGAGATGAGGGCGCTTCAGAACGATTCCACAAAATGCAACTATATATTTCATGTTCTGGGGGAGTGGCAAAAGCAGCCGGCGCGCGCTTCGCTGGGCGAGCACGCCGCTGCAGTATCGCAGTGCATGCTGGAATCTGCAGCCGCTTGTGTTCCTGCGCAGGAGACGCCGCGCCTGCGCCCATGGATATCCGATCGCACACTCCACCTTATCGAAGAGAGGAACCGGGCGCGGCACTTGGGGATGGCATCGAATTGCACGCCAGAGAAACACCTCAACAAATTGATCCGGCACTCCGCAAAGGCTGACAACAAATTTTGGTTTACAGAGGGCATTTCGAGGAACGGCTGGGACACGATCAAAGCATTGCGGAAAGGACCTGCGCATAAATGTGGACGGCTCCAGGGCGCCGACGGCCGATTGGTAGATGCTTCCGAAAGGGCTGACACTATGGCAGACTATCTTGAGAAAGTCCAGTGGCGCCCTCCCCCTGCTGGGTCACAGTTTCCTGGCGACAATGCGGAAGAGAGGCATTTGCGAATAGAAGTGGGCCCCATCGCAGTCGAAGAAGTAACGCGGGCAATTAAATACTCACGTACTCGGCGTGCTGCGGGTGCGGATGGCGTGCCGCCAGAACTATGGAGAGCACTACTGGGCGACCAGGCGGCGCTGAACATCTTGACGTCGTTGTGCGGCGCATGCTGGGAGCAGAAAGACATCCCGCAGACGTGGAGAGAGGCGTCGGTGGTTACCATTTTCAAAAAAGGTGACGCGTCGCAGCTTTCGAACTACCGGCCGATCTCTTTAGTCACAGTTGGGTATGAGACACTCGCGAGCATACTGCTACAAAGGATGAAACATGGAGGCTGTGAAGAAGCAGCGCGGGAATCCCAATGCGGCCTCAGACCCCGCCGTGGCACCAGCGACGCCTTATTCTTAGCGCGCAGACTGATTGGCGCAACGTTGGAAGACAAAGATGGCAAATTACTTCTCTGTTTGCTGGACTGGAGCAAGGCATTTGACCGTATGCATCCTGAAGGTCTTATCCACGCTCTTCGTGAATTCCGCACCCCGCCGGCGATGGTCAACATGATCCGGGGCATCTACAGGGCAAGGAAATTTGCAGTGCAAGACTGGAGCACGACGACGGCGCAAAGGACCCAGGCAGCAGGTATCGCACAAGGTTGTCCCCTATCCCCCTATTTATTCATCATTGTCATGTCCGTCATCTTGCGTCGTGTCGACGTGCGCTTGGACATCGATGTCCCGCACAGGCCTACTAAGCTATATCTGATAACGAAAGATGTCCTCTACGCAGACGACACGATGCTCATATCACGAGACCCTGATGTACTTCAAGCCCATTTGGATTTGGTCGTGGACGTGGGGAAATTATACGGTTTAGAGCTGGATGCTGGGAAAACGGTGTTGCTGAAGATACGGGCAGATGGAACCATATATGGGCCAGACGGCCAACCGATTACATGCAGGGATAGTGCCGTTTCTTTGGGGGGACTCATAAGTATTGATGGGAAGCCTCGGCCGGAACTTACGCGGCGCCTGGGGGAAGCAAAAGGGACATTACAGAAGTTGGTCAGAGTCTGGAGCCACGCGAACCTCAGCAAAAAACATAAGCAGAGGGCGCTGGAATCATACGTCTTTCCCAAACTCATGTACGGTCTCGAGTCCTGCATGCTCTTACAAGCCGACAGAAATATAATCGACGGCTTTCGGGCCATATGCTTACGAACGGTATTCAAGATTCCACCCGCTTTTGTGTCGCGTGTGAGCAACGCAGAAGTTCGTGAACTTGCAGAAGCCCAGCCATTGTCGACAACTTTACTTGAACGGCAGCTTAATTTATATGGAAAACTTGCTCGGGACAGCCTCACATGCCTACCAGGAACTATGGTGTTCGAGAGTGGTCAAGGTCATGACGTTTTACCTCGAAACTGGAAGTCGGCACGGTCTCAAGGACGCCCCCGTCGGCCACCTATACGCACGCAGAGGCACTCGTCGTGGCAGAGAACGACCCGGCTGCATTACAGAGGCTCTTGCAGAACATGCCCATGTGGGACGAAGCTGTTGATCGGCATTGTGCACAATAGTTAGACAGAGTTTACATATTTCTCCTTCCCCCTCCTCCCCCCCCTCCTGTTTCCTTCTTCTTCCTCGTCCCCCTCGGCCGTGCGAATCAAGACGTTTAGCCACGCTTTGCGCGAGACCTTGCGCACAACCCGCGGGCCCGATGCGAATCAGGGCAAATTTGCATCATGCGCTGCTGGCAGTTCTCCCTCGCACCACGCTGGACCAAAGCAGCGGGCGTGGAAGATCCGAGGCGCTGCGGTAGCACATCCTATTTTCACACGCATGTGCTACTCTTCTTTGCCAATGCGCCGTCTAGGCGCGGCTTCCTCACTCACTCATAGAGAGCTCCACCGAAGCCCCCACTGGGGCCGCTTGCATGCGTCCCACACACACGCACACCCAATTTAGCATTTTCACTCACCCAGTACAGCGTTTCGTGGCCCTTAGGGAGCTCCATCGAAGCCCCCAGTGGGACCGTCCGCATACGCCCCGAAAGCCCAATTTGGCATTTTCACCCACTCAGTATAGCGCTTCGTGGCCCCATAAAGGGAGCTCCGCAGAAGTCCCCAATGGGACGAACACCAATTTTGGTATTTCCCTGCCTAGGCTCTGCCTAGAAGGGTTCTTGCCCTGTATGCTTAAAGGGCCGGGCAGTGTTGCCCGCCCCTGGCGGCCCCCCCAGGATCCGCCCCGCGGTTCCCCCAGCTACGTCCCCTTAGGTTAGCGTTGCTTATTTCATCTTAGCTTAACTTAGCTTAGCTTGGCTCAGCTCAGCTTCATCTTAACTTTGCTTAGCTGTAGCTTAGCTTAGCTTAGCTTAATTTAGCTTACCTTTAGCTTAGCTTGAACTTAGCTTTAGCTTTGCTGTAGCTTAACTTTAGCTTAGTTTTAGCGTAGCTTTCACCTAGCTTTAGCTTAGCTTTAGCTTCTATTTGGCTTAGCTTTATCTTAGCTGCAGCTTAGCTTCAGCTTAGCTATAGCTTAGCTTTAGCTTAGCTTCAGCTTAGCTCCAGCTTAGCCTTAGCTTAGCTTTAGCTTAGCTTTAGCTTAGCTTTAGCTTAGCTTTAGCTTAGCTCCAGCTTAGCTGTGACCCTGCTTCAGCTTAGCTTCAGCTTAGCTTTAGCTCAGATTTACCGTTACTACTAATGCTGCTTTCCTAGGACTCCTACTCCCAGGTAGGGTCGCACTGGGATAATTTTTCACCCACCCAGAAAAGTGTTTCGTGGCCCATTCGGGGGGAACTCCACCGAAACCCCCATTGGCACCGCCCGCCGCCCGCATGCGTCTCACACACCCAATTTAGCATTTTCGCCCGCCCAGTACAGCGCTTCGTGGCCCCATCGGGAGCTCCACCGACGGCCCCAGTGCTACTGCCCGCGTGCGTTCCCCCCCACCCAGTGCAGCGCTTTGTGGCCCCATAGGGAGCTTCACAGACGAACGAACTAACGAACAAGCCATACGCCACAGAGGCGCGTGGGCAAACACGTGCGTCTCACGTTGCTCAGCGCGGGTTCGCAGAAAACCGCGGGCAACGAGATTGCGTCATGCATGCTGCTGTGTGCCTCCTGCCAGGGCGCCAGGGCGCGAAGAACAATGACATATGTTACACATAGCCTCTTGCCCCTTCAGGGCGAGCGATGGCGTGTGCCGCTGTTTTCCGCAGCGCCGGGTCTCTCAAGCTCTGCATCACTTGCTCATCGCAACTCAAATGTGCAGATGATGGTTGGGTCCTTTGCCAGGATATGGTTTTCTTGTTTCTGCAGTTTTGGTTTGAATCTCTTTGTAGGCGGACATGCCCGACCTAAGTCGACTACGGAATCGATGTACCGCAGAATCGCCTCTGCTCCGTCGAATCTACTCGACGCGCGTAGCATGGTCACAGATCTACGGAGCATTCTGCGTACTTATTCGTGGTACCTTCGACGGCCCTCGACTGACGGAGGACGAGGACGAGGACGAGGACGAGGACGAGGAGGAAGGGGGAGGAGGAGGAGGCGGAGGAGGATTAGGAGGAGGGGGAGGAGGAGGGGGAGGAAGGAGGATGAGGGGGAGGAAGGATGAGGACGAGGAGGAGGAGGAGGAAGGCTGAGGAGGAGGAAGGAGGAGGCGGATTCGTAGGACTCAGGGTACGTCGATTATGTAGCTGATCTCCTGCTCGAGACGCCTCCCCTCCCCTCACCTTGCTGGCCGTGGGCGCCATGCGCGCGGCCCGCCGGCTGGCGCTCGCCCCCCCGGCGCGGGCGTGGCGCGGCGCCGCTCCCGTGGCGCCGTCTTCGCTGCTGCGCGGGGCCCTCGGGCCGCGGTCCTCGGCGGCCTCCGCAGGTTCGCCGGCCGAGGAGGCGCCGCAGCTCTCATTTTCATCATCATCATCATCATCATCATCATCATCATCATCATCACCATCATCGTCATCATCCTCATCCTCATCCTCATCCTCATCCTCATCCTCATCATCACCATCATCACCATCACCCTCAGCATCATCACCAGGACCCTCATCCTGATCATCGGCATCATCATAACCATCATCAACATCGTCATCATCCACATCATCCACATCATCCATATCATCATCATCATCATCACCATCTTCATCATCATCATCTTCATCATCGTCATCGGCATCATCATCACCAGCAACATTACCATTACCATCATCACCATCATCATCATCACCATGCTCATCACCGTCATCATGAATTTCAGCATCAACATCAATCTCATCATTACCATAGTCCCCACCATCGCCATCATCATCACAACCATCCTCATCATCATCGTCATCATATATATATAGATCTATATATCAGCATCATCATGATCACCATTGTCACCGTCAATATCAGCATCATCATCACATCATGTTCATCATTCTTGTCGTCATCGTCACACTTGTTCGTCAACCCTATCACCATCAGTACATCATTATCAACATCATCAGCACCAACGTCAGCGTCATCATCATCAGCAACAGCTTCTTCATCATCTACATCATGCTCATCATCATCATCATAATCATCATCATCATCATTCCCATCATCATCATCATCATCGCCAACATCGCCAACCTCACCGTCCTCATCATCAACCTCGTCAACATCGCCACAATCATCATCTTCATCATCCACATCAGTATCACCACCACCATCATCATCGTCGTCGTCGTCGTCTTCGTCTTCGTTGTCGTCGTCGTCGTCGTCGTCGTCGTTATCAACAGCATCATCATCATCAGCAGCATCATCATCATCATCATCATCATCATCACCATCATCACCAGCATCGTCACCAGTATCACCATCAGTATCACCAGCATGGCCATTCTCATCAGCATCCTCAGCATCATCTTCATCTGCAGCATCATCCGCTGGCTCGCGGGCCGAGGATGCCAAGGCTCATTTCGACTCCGGCTCGATTTCATTCGACGTCGGTCGATTCCGATCCCGATTCGACTTCGCATGCCGAGGTGGGTCTCTGTTGTCTGTTGGGTGCCTCTCCAGCCTGCTGATTTCCGCTGGTTCGACTCATCCCGACTTGGCTGCCGATTCCCAGCGATCCGATTCATGTCGATGGCCGCTCCGACTCGTCGATTCGACTCCTGGGCCCTCCCGAGAGGCGCCGCAGTCCTCGCCCGCCGCGGCGAGGCAGCCGGTGTGCCTCTACGCGGCGCGGGCGGGCATGGCCGAGGCCACGGCGGAGGCCAGGAAGAGGTGCGGGGGCGAAGCCTGGACCCTAAACCTCGCCGATCACCGATGCATTCGGTAGCCAATCATGGGAGCCTGGTATGCCCTCTGAAGAACGTCTGGGAATCGATGAGATGGCGCCGATTTTGCGTCGACGGGCGTCGATGTAGCGCCGATTAGCGGCGATTAGCGTCGATTTAGCGTCGACTAGCGTCGATTCGCAAGAGCCGACAAGATGGTATTGGAGGCTCCCATGAGTTGCCACCGAAGATGCAGGCAACTCGATGGCTTAGATGATCCTGCAAACGCTGGGGGCTTTTTTTGTTTTCAAATCGGCGTTCCCTTGCCGTTTGTGTGCGCCATTTTTGGCACACTGTCAGGTCCAGGATCGGCACGTGTCCCACGGCACGTGTCCCACCTGCACGTTTCTACTCTGGTTCAGACTGCGTTTGCTCGGTATCATAATGCCGTTTGCCTGACGTTCGCATTCCAGGGCGTTGTCTTCGAACCTCTCGGTCGAGTCACGAGCGAAACATGGAAACCAGACAACCAAGCTCTTCTTGTCGTCCTTGGCCACAGCCACCGCGGTCGGGGGTCGGGTTTGGAGCTCCTCGAGCGCGTGGCGAAGTCCGAACCCTGCTCCCGCGTCCCGCGGATCCAGGATCATCGATGGCCGGCGGGGGTCGCGTGCGGCTGCCGCCGCCCCGAGGTGTCAGATGGCCGCGGCGCTCGGCGCGATGGGCTTCACGGGGGTCCTCATCTCCGCGGCGCAGACGGCCCCGCTGCCCATGCGGGGAGGCAACTCCTGGGAGGTCAGCTTCAGCATCGGCGCTGGTGTCACCATCCGCGGTGCAGAGGCTGGCCTCATTCGGCCTGCTCCTGCCTCGGTCCGCTCGACGCTGCTTGCTCCAGCTCGGCCCCCGGGCCCACTATCCACGCCGGTTCTGGCTTCGTACGAGCTCCCTGATCGGGCTTGCCATCCAGCCCCGTTCTCGTTTTCACGAGGAGCTCCCAGAAGTTGCCTCCCAACCCATGCTCGCCATCTTGGTCATGGGGGTGGCCACTAACACGTACATGGTCCTTCGGAGGAGGCAGATGCGACACCAACACCAGGGGGCCCGCATCCAGCGAGGAGGTCCACGATGCCTCCCCGAGCTGGAGGCTGGAGATGTCTCGAGCGAGAGGGGTGGACCACACCACCAGGGAGGCCCCCCTGGCCCCTCGCATATCCTCGCCCTGTTGGTGTTGGCGTCGCCTTTCCTTGCTCCCAGGTCCTGACGGTGTCCACGCGCACGCTCTGGACGCTGGCGGCGCGGCACGTGGAGCGGGTGTCGCTCCTGCAGCCGGCGGCGGGCCAGGGGGCCGCGCCGACGCCAGTGGACGCCGAGATCGAAGCGGGAAAAGATGGCACGAGCACACACCCTAGGCGATGCTTGGGAAAGCTTGAGTTTTCGGCCAGAGCCTCGATGATTCTTCATGTTTCGATGTAAATCCTAAGATCTGAATCGAAACTCTTCGTTTGTTATTCAAATTCTGAGACTATGACTTTCTTAAGCCATGGCTTCTCAAGCATTTCGCAGGGTGTACCTTTTCGGAGGCCCGCGCGGATTTCTCGGATCGGCGCTGGGCTCCGCCGGCGGCGCTTCTGGTGGCGCCGCCGGTGCGCGCCCCGTCGCGCCACGGAGGGGGGGCCCGCGCGGACCGAGGAAAGTTTGAGCTTGTACTGTTGTTTCCTCTTCCGCGAGAGTTTCGCGCAGGCGAAGGAGGTGCACCTGCGCATCGAGAGCACCAACGTGGTGAGGGAGCTTCGGCTTGAGGAGCCCAACTCACCGTGGGAGGGCGCCCGGTTTCAGGGTCTCGTGGAGGAAACGCGGGTGCCGTTCCGGGAGCTGTGCGACAGGGGCGCGCTTTTGTACATCGACCCAGAGTCGGGGGACTGCTGTGGCCACCGCCAGCTGCTAGACGCGCTGTTGACGAGCGAGAAGGTGGTGGCCGACGAGCTGATGGAGCTGCGCATGGACGCCGACGAGGAACTGAGGCCTGGATCGGACGTGCGTGGCAAACTGGAAGCTGGAACATATCGTGGAGGATCTCGAAACAACTGCAGGGGATCTTCCGACTGTGTGTATGAGTTAGACATTCAGGCGATCTTCTTAGCTTGACAATATCTCTGGACATATCTTCGGCAATCTCTAACAGATCTGTATATACACAAATATAAGCGTTTTGAGAAATGCACGGGTCTATGTCTGGGGGTTGCCTGGATATTGTCCCAGGATGTTTCCTGCGGTTGGAGGTAGCCTGGGATGCTGTCCTGGCCTCGACCTCTCCCAGGAAATACCCCGTGCGATATTCTGTGCTTGGATGCTTCCCTGTTGGTTCCCGGGGGTCGGAGTTCTTCCAGGATATTTCCGTGGATCTGACCGCTTTTCCAGCCAGCCCGCACTTCCAGCCAACCCGCAGAATAAGGATGGGCCACCTTCTCAATGGTACCCTTGCACCCTTGCAGCCTTGCCCCTTCGGCCCATCCTTGGCCACTTTCGCTGGCCGCGCACCCTTCCACCCCCTGCGACCCCCTCGAACAGCCTCGGAGTGGCCTTCCAAGGCCCTGGCATCCTTCTCGGGAATACGGGTTGACCGTAGGGGTTCTTGATTCGCTCACCTCGGAGTGCCTAGACGGGCCCGCCGAGCATCTTGCCGCGCTCCCGCCCGGGGGGGCGTGGGCGCCCTCGTGCCCGAGGAGGAGGAGGAGGAGAAGGAGGAGGAGGAGGAGGAGGAGGAGGAGGAGGAGGAGGAGGAGGAGGAGAGGAGGAGGAGGAGGAGGAGGAGGAGGAGGAGGAGGAGGAGGAGGAGGAGGAGGAGGAGGAGGGAGGAGGAGGAGGAGAGGAGGAGGAGGAGGAGGAGGGGGAGGAGGAGGAGGAGGAGGAGGGAGGAGGAGGAGGAGGAGGAGGAGGAGGAGGAGGAGGAGGAGGATGAGGAGGAGGAGGAGGGTTCTGTTTAGTAGGTGTTGGTTTTCTCACAAAGCCCGCCTGCAGGAGGACATGCCCGACCTGCGTCTTGCCTGGTGCCCGCGTTTAGGGGGGCGCCTGGTGGGCGCCCCGTGCCTCGGATGCTTCACGCATTTTGCACAGCGGAGCTCCCGCCGCATAGCCTACGCCTCGTAGCCTGCACAGCCTAGCTCACGCCACACGGGTCACATCGCATAGCTCACGCAGCGCAGCCCATAGCAAGCAGAGCACACGCACATGAAGCCACATGGCCCACACCACGTTGCTTGCAAACCATGGCTAGCACATGGCTTCCTCTGAATGGCTTGCACTTCCATAATGCAGGAGCTCTCAGTTTGGGCCAACGCTATCTAGCAACTATAGCATTTGAGCATTTGTGTGATTGTAGATGTTCCGTCCACTATGCTTTCACATGGTTTGTAGTTGCAAGCATCGCCCATCTTTGTTTACGCATTGTTCGGAATGTGTCCCAGAGTTGATTACTTACACAACTGGTCTCGTTTTGTATATTTGTCCTTCTATGAGTTAGGGTTGGAATTCCTTTGCGTCTGCCAGTTATTACTATTGTTGTTATTATTTGTATGATTGTTATTCTTCTTATTGTTATGAAAAAATCCCACATGGTTGCCCATGACGTGGATCTCTTTTACTCGTTCATGCTTTTAATATCATTGTTTGATCTGTGCGGGTATTGTTGTTGTAGACGCAGGCTTTTAATGCGCGAGTAAGTATCAGGCATTTCGTTTGATATTCGAATCTGGATGCTTTTCTTCTGCCTCAGTTTGCTGCACTCCAAACAATACATGTCAAGGCCCCCAGCGAAGTACATGAGCATCGTCGTGCCGAGCTTCAAGGACCTCCGGCCCGGTGAGCTTCGCTCTTCGTCCATCGGTATGGCTCTGGGCGGAGCGGACACGCCTGCGCAGGCGTCGGCGCGCCTGGCCCAACGGTCCGTCATGGGCGGCTCCCTGCTCCTGATGACTGGCCTGCTCTTCGTCGGGAAGGATCGGGTGTCGGACGGAATGGGGGGATCGGGAAGGGCCAGGTGATACGAAATATGCCACCACGCGCACTCCTCGATACATGGCCGTCCTCAGCGCTGGGAGGCGCCGGGAAACAGGCTCCCACTTGCTTAGGCTCAATATCCTGGAAGGTTGCATTCAGCATCGTCGCTTGTATGTCCGGTATAAGCCCGTCAGTTCCGCGTAATCCCGCTTCGCCTGTCTTCATCAAGCTTAATTGTGGGCTCCGTCTTGGCCAATCCGGCCCAGTGGCCCCTGCGTCGGGCGTATGGCCCTTTACTATAGCTCTTACGACGAGCTCACAGAAGTTGCCTCAGACAACTTTTGCATCCCCGGCGCTCCCTGGCGTTGCCCTGGGTTCGGGAGGGTCGAGGGGGCCGCTCACGTCGCGAAGCGTGACGTAACCAAAGGGAGCGGTGGCGGGGCTGGGGCGTCACTGCGAGTATTTGCCAGCGGGGGGCTTGCGGTTTCGGCACCCGCCCGCCCCTAAGAGGAGGGCTACGACCACAGCAGGAGCACCGACGGCGCGCGCTGAGAGGCCCAGGCCCCTGGGTGCCGGTGCGGCGTCTCGGGGCGCCTTTGGTCAGGAGTGGAAAAAACACACAGACACAATTAATCCTCGATTCCCCTGAAAATATGGGAAAATATGGGGAAGTGGGGGGGAAGACAGAAACCCAGAAAATATAGGAAAATATGGTGAATCTTTTTATTTGTGTGTATTTATTTGTGTGTCCTGGGGCCCCTTCATTTGGGAGTCAGCCACGCGCAGGGGGGGAGTGGGGGAGGGTGGAGGGCTTCTCTCAGAAGCACCCCTGCTTCGCAGCAGGCGCGGGCCTGATCCATGGTTCGATGGAAGGCACGCGCCTTCTAAGAAGCAGCCTCCTCCCAAGAAGCCGTCCCTCCTCCCTCAAACCCCCTTCCCAGAGATCCGAGGTCGTGATTTTTTCCTTGCGCGGTCCCTGGAAGTCTGGACCCATTGCCCAGGACCGGTTTGTCATCCTGAGCCGTTCTTTGACCGCGCCGAGGCCCGGCGAGGGCCCCTGGAGGCCGAGTAAAGATGCGGAACAACAACCTCCGTCTTGATTTTGTTAATAGTCACCGAGCGATTTCCACTAATTACACGCAAAGTGCCTACTCGCAAACGTGGGAAAAATCAACTGTCTGCATCGATGCAGTGCACCGTAGATCCCCAGGACGGATCCAAGCCATTTGTGATCAGTTACTTTGCGAGAAGTGGAACACGCTTGCCTAAATGCGTCGGATCTCTGGGGTCTCTCCTCCCTCCATCAGGGGCAACGATAGGGGGGGATAGGCATAGGGGGGGACGCATCGACACCCCATCGCTCATTGATCGCCGATGGGGACGATAGCCCCACCCCGCCCAGGAGGGTGCGGATTCGCGACCGGGAGCCTATCGCCGATCTCTATCGGCGATGCATCGCCGACTCCGGGTCGATGCGTCCCCCCCCCCTGGTGCCTGCCCCCCCCCTACGGTAGGTTCGCGTCGTGTCGACCGGCGGCGACCCCAGCGCGGGCGTTCAAGGTTGAACGCCGCCGGCGACCCAGAATCGGTCGATGTTGAACGATTGGACGTTGCGGAGACGGCCGATCGTTCAAGGTTGAACGATCCAGCGCGGTGTCAGGAACCAACGCAAAGGTCGACACAGCACGAACCTGCAGTATCGCTGCCCCTCCCTTCACCGCCTGGCGGGCGCCGCCCAGAAGAGGCCCAGGCCCCGCGTGCCGGGGCGGTGCTCCCGGGGGGCGCGCCGCGGGGCAGCGCGCAAACGCGAGGGGAGAGAGCGCGCCGCGCCCCGGCAGAGGCGGCGGCACGACGGTCATGCGGCGGTCGTCAGCGTCGTCGTCGCCGGAGGAGGAGGAGGAGGAGGAGGAGGAGGAGGAGGAGGAGGAGGAGAAGTAGGGCGAGGACGGGGAGGACGAGAGGGAGGAGGAGGAGGAGAAGGAGGGAGATTTGGATACCTCGGGGA